CACACAAATAATGGAAGGAGATAAGAGTTTGAAAAGGAAGAATAAGAACCATTAATAAATAAACAAGCTGATATGGCCCATATGAAAATACAGTTAATAAAAAAATTGATAGGGACCTTTACATGTTTTTACCAAACCAAAATGATGTGGCAAACGTTTATTAGTTCCGATAAAATAAAATCGAGACTTAAATTTTCCAAAAATATTTATTGTGAAATAATTAATTCAAATTGCATTTTTACCGAGACAAAATATATATATATTATATATATATATATATAATCGTGCGCAGTCAGCAGAGGGTTCTCGGCTACCGGGGAAGGTTCGAGGATCTGGAGATCGAGCAGAAGCTGGACGTGTACGCAGCCATACTCGAACGGTCCGGCAGAATGAGAATCTTGTCCGGCCAGTCGGAGGAGCTGGCCAATTTCTCCGAAGAGGATCTGAAGTGCCCCGGCGGCCAGTGGGACTTAAACACCGCCGTGAAGCCCTCCGTCGAACTTTACTCCTCGAGAAGAAGGCTGAGACTCAAATCGGCAGCCATGTTCTTCAAGGACATGTGTACGGTTATTTGGGACGTCTACTCGTCAGACCACACGATCCAAACGGTCACGAGGGACGCCCTGGTTACTGCGGCGGAGGAGGGAGGGGCTGCGCTCGGGAGGTTGGTGACGGTGGCGATTGCCACCAGGTTGACCGGTCAAGCGGCCACGACCCTTTTCATAACGGCGGTCGGGCTTGTCGGGGGTTTTGTGGGGGCTTTTATACTCGGAGCCGTCGCGGGTTTTTTGTTCGACCTTATATTTAGCAGTGGCGGGCAGGCGCCGTTGCCGACCGACGGGTTTATTGTGTACGTGGCGCCAATGCCCGACGGCCGCCGGCTCGCCAGGCAGATTGCTTGAAGTTGGTTGGTTGATTTCAACGTGCGTGAGTGGCGGCGCCGGTTGAAGAATTGCAATGTTAGTCCACCGGCTTTGGTTGTTTCTCGTTTTCGTCTAATAACAGCTCCGATTTGGTTGGAAGCTTACAACAGTAATAATGGAGGATATATATATGTTGAAGGGAGGAGAAGAATAATTCGTGGTCATTTCGATATTACAAATATGCCCCTATATTAAGTGTGTGTTTTGAGTGAATAAGTGGGCTGTATTTCAGCCCCATCCCTGTTTTATTAGGCCTGCTTTTTATCTCAGGGCTCCATGTAATTGGGTTTATCCAATACATGGTTCCTATTGGATCCGTCTTTATATGTTTTTTCGTTGTTTTTGCTGTCAATAAAAAAATTTCGACCATAATTTTTGTCAAATACCCATGGTATATAATTTCAGAATACGTTGAGTTTAAGTGACAAATTCTCACGATTCGAAATTTTATTTGGCGAAAAATCATACTTCGGAGTTAGACTTGGATATAAATGTCGTTGCAGAAATATAACGCAATGTTGCACACAATAGCTTTTCGAGAAAACGCTCGCAAACCCTTGCTAAGCGAAAAATTGTTATATTGTCTCTGCATTAAACTGTCGATGGTGCCCCAGTTCAACGAATTGAAATTAGTCGACAGTCGAACCTAGGCGAACACCTGCGTTATGAAGAATAAAACACTATATATTGAGTTTATAATAATAATAATAACTGTTAGAATATCACTTGTGAGTTGTCCCACATCGTTCACACATAGAAAATAGACCCACCTTATAAGT